TTGCTGTTGCTGTTGCTGCAGCAGCAGCAGCTGCTGCTGTTGCGTTTGCTGCTGTGTGGAGCGAGGCAGCTGCAGATCAGCTGCTAGGAGAGCAGCGAGAACAGCTGGGGGTGCAGCAGCAGCAGCAGCAGCAACAGCAGTTGCCAGCATAACGGAGAGGGGCTGCTGCGGCAGCTCTGTCTGCTGCTGCAGCAGCAGCAGCAACTCCTCTCGCGAGGACCGCAGCACATATAGGGCCCTCTCTGCGTCGTCCCCTACACTGAGAGCCTGTGTAAGCGGAACCGCTTCATCACGTTCTGCTGCTGCTGCTGCTGCTGCTGCTGCTGCTGTTGCTGTTGCTGCTGCTGCTGGTGCTTCCTCTGTTGCTGCTGCTGCAAGAGCGTCCGTGTCTCTCGCTGGTGTCTTCTTCGCCTCTGCCTCAGAACGACTCAGCTGCTGCTGCTGCTGCTCCTGCTGCACCTGCTCCTGCTGCTGCTGCTCCTTCCCCTTCTGCTGCTGCTGCTGCTGCTGCTGCTGCTGCTGCACTGCAGCTGCGTCTCCGTGGGCCTCCCACGAGGGGGCCGTCGCCATGCTTCTCGCGGGTGCTGTTGCTTCGCCAGCTGCTGCTGCAACAGGAGCAGCAGCTGCTGCAGTAGTTGCTGCTGCTGCAGCTGCTGCAGTAGTTGCTGCTGCTGCAGCTGCTGCAGCAGGCACAACACAAACAGCAGTGCGCATGCAGAGCAAATGCCTAACCAATCTGAGTGTCACTGCTGCAGCACGCTGCGGTGTACAGACACCTGAAAGTGTGGGGTGTATATGCTGCAGCACGCTGCTTCAGCCCGCTGCTGCAGCAGCTGCTGCACGAGCTGCTGCAGCACGCTGCTGCAGGAGCTGCTGCAGCACGCTGCTGCAGGAGCTGCTGCAGCCCACTGCTGCAGGAGCTGCTGCAGCACGGTGCGGTGTACAGACAGCTGAAGGTGTGGGGTGTATATGCTGCAGCACGGTGCGGTGTACAGACAGCTGAAAGTGTGGGGTGTATGTGCAGTCTCCTCTCACCGCTGTCTCTTCTTTTTCGTCTCCACTGCCGGAGGCCGACGATCCCAGGAAGTGTCTCCTCCAGCTCCGCTGCAGCAGCAGCAACAGCAGCAGCAGCAGCTGCTGCTGCTGCTCTTGCTTCCTCTTTATCTGCTGCTGCAGCTTCAGGTGTACGTACAGCCCAGACAGGTGAACTCGCGCTGCTGCTGCTGCTGCTCCTCCTGCTGCTGCTGCTGCTGCTGCTAGAACTACCCGCAGCAGCAGCAGCAGCCCCAGCTGCATGCAGCGCCCCCACCTTCTCAGCAGTGTCTTCGCCTTGAGAGGCATCGCTGCTGCTCAGCTGCCGGCCATCAGCAGCAGCAGCAGCTGCTGTTGCTGCTGCTGCTGCTGCTGCTGCTGCTCCACTAGGAGCCGGAGGCTCTGGTGAAGCCTGGATA